AAATGGACGATAGCCAAAGTATTGCAGATTATTAAAAAACAATAACTAAATCTCTAAAAAACAATTGTACTTGTAGTTTATTAATAAAAAATTCAATAAGTCACATTTTAATTTTTTGTTTTTTTGTTTTATTGAGTGTCTCGATTTGAGACGCTCAATAAAACAAAAAAACCATCTAGATTGTATAAGACGATTCATTGTGCGTTGGAGTTGTATAAATTTATCTTTATAGCATATATATACGATAAAAACAAATTTATTTTTGTCGTATGAGATAAAAATAAATTTATAATAATTAGATAAATAATTTTTACTATGTTAGATGTGTCCTCGGTAGTATAGTGGTAAGTATCCCCGCCTGTCACGCGGGAGACCGGGGTTCGATTCCCCGCCGGGGAGTATTTTTTTATTGGATTGTTATTATGATAAGGGTTATTAGTGTTGATAATTATTAATTATATTATAATATTATAAGAGTGTTATTAATGGTAAAGTCGTATTTTATGTACGTAAACAAAAAAAGCGAAAACGCAACTAATAGTATTTTAAATTAAAGAGTTTTACAAAATATTAATGCATAATTTTGCAACCGTAAAACACAAAATAAAAAAGTTGATTCTATTGATGCTTTTTAATAAAAAAATTATACCTTAAAGTTAAAATATCATTAGGTGGTATCAACTCATTATTAGGAACAATACAACGAGATGCCTGCGGTCTGGGCATTGTTCAATTTAAAAAGCGTTATAAAAACGAAATATAAGAGTATAGACAGTATTTCTTAATAAACTATTGTTAAATTTTTAGTTTTAGTTCTTTTTAATAAAAAAATTCTCTTTAAAAATGAAGAAGTCTTAATTATGCAAATTCTTTTGTTTAAATTTATTTATAAAAAAAAAAGAATTTTAAAATTTTTTTTATTACGCAGTACGTAAGTTGCGTTTTGTACCTGATTAGTTTACATAAATTACGACTTTACCTTTAATTAGAATCCAAAATCCCGGCTCCGACTAAAGAAGATTGTATTTTTAATGAGCTAAGCAGAGCAAACGACATCAGGGGGCCGGATGCGTCCCCACCTACACTTTTTTTCTAAATTATCTTTTTTTTTTTAAGAAAATTTCAAATATAGAGGACCTTTTTTAAAAAACTTGACGATTGTGCCCTCCACTTCGACACCGTGTCGTCAGCCCTGCTAAGTAGGTAATTAATAGTAGTTTTTAAAAACTATACATATTTTATTATAAACTAAAGATCCTTTATCTCTTCCCCCCAAAGAGTATAAAAAACAAAACAAAAAAGAAACGAAAAAGCTTTAATAATTAGAATTTAGTAATATATAGAGTTTACTTTCTGCAAAAAGAACAAGATTATATCAAAGAGGAAATTTCTACACAAATATCACCATCATCAGTTGTGACCGCCACTTGGGAACTTGCTTCAGCATCAGCCATAAAGATAATTCTTCAATTAAGGAAAGTAAACTAAATTTTTTTTTCTTTTTAAATTTTGCTCTTACTGCAATGATTTAGATATTTTATTTTATAAATTTGATTATAAATGTATTAAGATAGGATATATTACTGAAAACAAGCTTTTAGGACGAAATTTTTCTTTCTTTTGGTACACTAACTTTTGCGAGATTTCAAGTCTATGGTCTCAGCAAGCTCATGTTCAGTTAAGATTAATGCAATTTTAGAACGACGTTCGTTTGTCATTGTTGATCGCAGATAATTTTTGCTAAAACTTCCAACCAAATATAAAGATTAAAGTTGATTTTATAGAGTATAGACAAGCTTTGGAGGCCTGGCGCCATCTATTTTCTTTAATCAAAAATAGTAGTATGCTTCATTTATAGGGCAGTCTTCAGCGGTAAAGATATTAATACATACTCATCTTTGAAAGTATCATCTAACTGTTTGTTCAATGTTTGTGTCGTTACTGCAACTTTTAAATAGATCTTTATTTTCATCAGATATTTTTGACGGTTTAAGGGAGCCAAAATTTTTATATTTGAACTCGTATAATTCAAATCCTCCAGAAATATCAAAATATGTTCAAATTACAACAGCTTTTTTAGTCCAAGAGTTTTTTTAAAGTTATATAGTTTCTAACGTTTAGAAACTATATAATTTTAAAATCTAGATCAAGTTTATGTTTTTACATATATTTTAAGGTAAATGTATAAATAAAGCTAACAATTTAATAAAATTGAACAAAAAGGTTGGTGAGATTTTGTGAGTGATAATCTAAGAGCCTGTGTCGCTAGACCTCCGTTATTTTATAAAAGCTGAAAATTTCTCAATGCATACTCCTAACACAAATAGAAGCGATGGTCAACTATGTACTTTAGATAATGGTGTCTTTGACTGGTAACAAATACCAAAGTTGTTTAAAGTACTGGCTAAACTACGTCAAATTATAAGGCGTAATTTTTTTACAATTTTCTTCGTAATAGAATCAGAAATTATGCCATCCATTCCCAGACAGTTACCATGGTGACAACCCCTAGCCAGACAAGCATATATGTTAGAAATAATTTATTTTTATACTAAAAACGTTCTAGCAAAAACTATAGATACGTAACTTAACTGAAAGTAATTACTGCTTGATTGCGTCAATAAGAGGTTGTCCATTAGTTACGTCAACAAAATTGGGGGAGGGGGTCTGAACTTTTTTGACAGTTGTTGACACGGGGGAAGGGGGAGGTTAATTAAAGTTGACGTCAACAGTTTTTTTTTTTTTTTGAATTTCATTGCTTTAATAACGGAAAATTAGGCTGAGTTTGTAGCGTAGTTTCTTTTCATGGGGGAGGGGGGGGGGGAGTTCAATCAAGAGTTGACGTAATTTTTATAGGGAGGGTCTCTGGAAATTTGACAAATTGTTGACAAGGGGGAGGGGGAGGGGGAGGTAAAAATTTCAAAAAATTTGTTGACTTTATTAATGGACAGCCCCTAAGCACTGGCTTCTAATATTTCTAATGATATTTAACAACAGTTAGAATCTAAGATAAAAATTGTAATAAAAAATGAAGTTAAAAATATGGTTTTCATAGCTCAAAATAAAAATAAAAAACAAAATAGCTATTAAATCCATTTTTTAACATCATTTTTATTACAGTTTTTATCATAGATTCTAACTGTTATTAAAATCAAACTGTAATTATTTTCATTTTAGCTATTTAATAGGGGTGTTCAAATTTTACAATTTTATTTTTTTGAGACATATATGCAAACTAAAATGATGTGTAATCGTGATTGATTTTAAGATAATAGGATTATCTTGAATTATATATAATATATAATATATATAATTCTAATATATATTATATATTAATAAGATAATATATTATATTGAAAAATTAAAGCATTATTAATACTTTGATTTTTCAAAAAATTTCCTTTTTGCTACACCCAACCAAAGTTTTTTAAATTTTGTAACTTTTTACAAATTTTCTGGAAATCTAAGAGACATACAAACATGTATACGACTTATTTGTTAGCTTACTATGTCTAGAGCATGCTTGAAAAAAATTGGCACCCTAGCTTTATGGGATTACCTTGCAACAACTTGATTTCGGAAACCATGATAGTAGGACGGGGGGGGGGGGGAGGGAGGGATGGAGGGAGGGCAAAAAAAAAAAGTTTTTGTTTAGCAAATCACTTTGCAACAACATGGTTATAAAACTGCATAATAATTTTTATTTAATTTTATTGTAAAAATATTGTGATACAGAATGAAATGAATCATAAATAATAAAAAAATAAATAAATTAAAGTAATAAAAGATTAGATTCGTTTACAATCTAAAGTAAAGTATAATATAAACCACAAATTTTAGAGTATACAAATAATAAAACCGCAAAGTATCATTATTATTAGGGCAAGAGAAAAACATGCGAAAGACGAGAAGTTTTTTGCTTCAAAAAACCAATTTATTTATGATAAATTTTGTATTTTAAAAGTATTATTTGTTTTACAAAACCTCACGATAGAATTTGTTTATATTGGAAATTTAGTACATATAAATATACAATTTGACAGTTTTTAACAATATTTATATTTTACCTACATTTTTTTTATTTATCAAAAATCAATATCTAAAGTTTTCAAGTAAAGTTGTTTTTGTTTAGTTATTTTTAGTCATAATGTTAAACTAATATTTTTTTGAATGTATTTAATGCAACTATGAATGTATTTAATGCAACTATAACATACTTTTGAACTATGAGGACCTAGGACAGGTATTTTTAAATTCCAAAATTATAAAATGCAAAAGAATTCTATTAGAAGAAGAGTAAGTGCTCGCACTTACCCTTTTTGGTGGGGAAACCAGCTAAGATGTGTTTCATGAAGCTACCGACTAGGGTTGATGTGATCAAGCAATTTCTTTATCTTAAAGAAAAGAATTCGTCAAGTTATCAAAATAACTTATATGCTGTTTGCTTTGATTGCATATAATGAACCAAAACCTACAGAAAATCATTTTTATTTAATACTTCAATAGCATTGAGGAAAAAATATAACATTATATATAGTTTCACGTAAAGCTGACCAATTACTGAGTAAATTGCTTAACTTTACGAGAATGAAAACTTGTGCATAACTCCTGAAGTTTTTATTCACGTAAAATTGACCAATTACTGAGTAAAAGAATTGCTTTTTCATTCACCCGGCTTAATTAATTCAAATTACCAGATCATTGTCAACAAAATAACGAAACATACCAGTAGGGTTGCAAAAACTTATTTCAAAAAAAGAGAAAAAAACTAAGTCACAAATCCAATTGAAAAACTGTTGTATTATTTGGAAAACAAAGTAAATAGAGATAAGCGCAGTAATCAACAAATTAAAATTCTTTTAGTTTAAGATGCAAGTTTATTATAGCTATGGTAGGCTCTCTTGTCATACCCCTATTCTATTTACAAAACCAAGTCAATAGTTTTATCATCGCTTGCAAGCAGAATGTATGTGTAATTATAAAACAACAAAAAAAACTAGTTTTTCATTAAAAAAGTCACAACTAGTTTCCTAAAAAAATTTGATAACAATGCTAAAATTTTTCTCGTTTTTTGATAAACATTTTTCACGTAGCATCTTTGTCAGGTATAGGGTACGACTTCCAACACTTCTCATTAAAAATCTAAAAAAAAAAAAATTATTTATTTAAAAAGAACATCAGTCATAGATAAAATGTCTTTACCTGTATATGTAAGTGTAAAAGTTTCCACAGGTGGCGTACTTAAGTTTCCGGCCAGTAACATTTTGTACTATAATTTATTTTAAAAAATGACTAATTTTATCACTATAGGATGCTAATAAAAATGTAGGAAACAAAATAGTATAGTTAAAGAATATTATTCATATTTCTGAAAGAATTTATTATAATTGTTATATTTACACGAGCAAAAGTTTTCCGGTCAAATAATTTATATTGAAGTAGGATAATTAAAAGCGCATTTACAAAAATGCGTTAAATGTTTACATTTTAAATTTAATCCTTTTGGAAGCGATATTAGACAACAAATATGATGTCTGATTGGCACAAAAAATAACGTTTGTTACTAAATTCCAATTGTATAACATGGTGGAGAAAGTGTAACGGTTTAGGGAATTTTCTCTGCACAAGAAGTCGATCAAAGATCAAAGATTGAGATCAAAGGAAATATGATTGCTTCTAATTACAAGGTCATTTTAGAAAACAATTTGCTATTATATGATGAAGAGACAATGCAGCAAAATCGGATATTTCAGCAAGAAATGACCCTAAACACACATCCAAATTGTTTTTCGTCTTTAAATGTGAGCGTTTTAAGATAGCCGTCTCTATTACCGGACTTGAACCCTAAGGAACACTTACAGGGGTGGGACCGCAAAATGTGAACGTTTTTGTTTTATTATAACTATTTTCTCGTTAGATGTAGTTGTACTCTCTCACTCATCAGAAAGTGTCTAAAGAGTTGTTAAATATGAACTATTTTAAATAAGAATGTCCAACCATTGGACATTCTTATTTAAAATAGTTCATATTTAACAGAAAATTAATTATTACAATCAGAAAAGTGTTCACATTTTGCGGTCCCACCCCTGTATAGGAAATGCTAGATAAATATTTTGTAGCCATACCCCTTGCAGTGTTATCACTGCAAAGGGTATGGTTACAAAATATTTATAATATTTATAAAAATATAATTCAATTATATTATAGAACATGTGGACCAATAATTTTTGTAATAGCACAAATTGGTTAGAAACTTTGCATGTGTTAATATAATAATAACAATTATGAACAAATTTAATCACAAACATAAATAACATTTTTTTACTATGTTCCTTTTTTCCTATATCTCATCCTAACATCTCATAACGATTAAAAACCTTTTTTAAAAGACTTTTTTAAAAATAAATTAGAATAAAAATTGCCATTGGCTGGAAACTTTTAAATGCCAATGTATATGTATTTATTAAAAAATCTTTACCTTAAGTGATCTGTTCTTTATTACCTCTTCAACAATCAATTCATTTTGCAAGAGTCTTACCTAATTTAAATGAAATTTTATAATGAAACAAATTTTTTCACATGACAAACATGAAAAGCCTTATAAAATTTTTTAAAAATTTATTAGACAACAATGTATTCTAAATCAATGTATTTACATATCAGGCAAATCAGTAAAACAGAATTTTTCTATTTTCTTCGCGAGTTTATTTAAAATCCAAAAAATCATAATGAAATGCCAGCTATTTTTAATTTCAAAACTAAAGAAAGAAACAACATAAAATAAAATTATTAACTGAGCCTTGCAGATTCTTAATCTCTTTTTGATCATTTCTTGTGGTTATGTCTGTTTTGTTATTCAATAGATCTAGTGCAGCTGTTTTTTTCTGAATACAATGATTTATAGTCTGCAACCGAAACTTATGTAGCTCTAACAACTAAAGTTAAACAATAAAAAACCTATTGCCTCTCAAAAAATAAAAAAATACAGATACAATAAGTTTTTGTATTATATATGTGTATAAATAATGCCTAATATTAAATATATAATTAGCATATCTAATTAGAAAATCATACAAGCAACAAACATTTTTCATAAAAATTTATATTAACTGGTATAAAATATTTTGATGTAATTACCTCATTATACAAGGATTGACACATTTTTTCTGTATTAATTTCATGTTGAAAAGAGAGTGTAGGATTGCTCTTATTTAATTCATACACTATTTTGTCATCAAGCAAACGCAAACTGTTTAAACTTTCCTAAAAACAACAATAAGGTTTTTAAACAACATATCTATTAATCTACAAAGAAGAATAACACATTTTAATGCAACAGATAACATAAAGACACTTAAACTTATGTAAAAATTCGATTGAAAGTAAAAGTTTGAAATACCAACAACTTTTAACTTACCAAAACATGAAAAATGTGTAAAGAAACAGCCAATATTCTTGCTCTTTACTAAGCTTCTAAAATTGAAAAGCAACTGGTAATGATCTTTGTGTAATTGGAATCATTTTAAAATCCCTTATTAAAAACTGCATAGTGCAGTAGTGAAACCCTAAAAGATCCCTAGTAGCACATGCTAAACTTGTTTTTTTTAGCAGGGAAAAAAAAACTTATTCACAGAGGTCTAAATGTTTGAGAATTAAGTTTATCATTTAAATTATTATTAAACTATCAATTCAACCAAGCAAAAATTGTTTAAAAAAAAAAATAACATAAATATCAATAACATTTTCCCTTGTTAACAGAAGCTTAAAACCTTTAGTCAGTTTAACAAAAAAAAAATGTTAACATAGAGAAAGTAGGGGCACAGTAGATCAGATTTTTTTATTTTTTCTAAATTGAGCAAAAGTTAAAATGTGTGTTTTTATTTTCAAGGCAATGAAAAAAATAATGACAGTGAATAGGGTCATAGCCAAATAACTTTGAGACTGAGGGAGTAAAGACAATGTACATTATACTTTTGGCATACTTTTATTAATTAGATTAGTATAAAATGGAAAAAATAGAATTTTGAAAATTGAGAAAGAAAAAAAAAAGAATTTTATTGATAATAAAACTTATAAAAACATTAAAAAATTAAAAACTTTTTAAATATTAATATTTATAACTTGAAACTAATAAATTCATTTTCATGTAGTTTGTTTGTTAAAAATGTATGAATTTAATCTTTAAGATCATTAATGGGCTAATGTGAATCAACCTATTCACTGTGCCTGTCTATAATAAATTAAGTTTAAGATCTAATTTCTTGGTACATGAGTGTTGTTTAAGGAAAAGCTAAACTACTAAAAGGAAGCATAAATATCAACAATCCGAATGAAAAACTTCAACTTTTAAAATTATTTCAACCATGATCTCCACAACAAACATAAGAAAGGTAGAAAATTTACTTTAGTTTGCTAAAAACAAAAATTATTTACCAAAAACTGGTAGTCAAAAATGATGTGGTAAAAACTATGAATAAAGATTGCTGATATATGAGCACATAAAATGATTACATTATCAAAATGAACAAAATTCTAAACTTGGAGAAAGTGCCCCTTATTCACTGCGCCCCTAGATCCACTGTACCCTAACTTTTCCTATAGTTGCTAAACTAGGATTAAGCAAAACACAACTCCATATATAGATAAACTACACAATACTTTTAAATCAGTGAATTTTCACTTAAATATTTCTATTACATAAATAATTTCCATAGTCATTTTAATTTAAACTTGGTAAAAATTGAACTAAACAATAATTAATTTTAGAACAAAAGGCTAATAAATCATGCATACTAAATGACTTTGGTTTATTTTGCAAACTGGCAGTTTTTTTAGATAACTAACCTAACCATCTTCATTATTGTTAAATTTGTCGTTTTTTAATTCTTTAATCATCACTTACACATTAACCATTTAAACTGCTATATTATGTTTCTTTTCTTAATGAACTGTTTTTTCTGCATTAATAACTTATGCATATTTCCTCAGTATTTATTGTAGGCCTAAAAATTTGTATTTTACATTTTCAATTAACATGATTAAAAAAATGTGAAAAAGTGCAAATATTTATAAACAGTTTACATTTGTAGCAATAGCTTTGTTACAAATATAATGGTAATTATATTTGAATAATTGTTAAAAGTTCATTTGTACAAAAAATAAATATCAGACAATTAGTAAAAACCATTCAAAATTAAGCTTTACATGTAGTATTTGAAGAACAAATAAAAAATTACCAAATTTAAAAAAACATAATTTTAACTTTTTAAATTGCACAAAGATCTACAGTTGATTTACAATTCTAGATCAATAGGTCACAAAAAAGTGAAAGTCGTTTATATATATAAATATACACACACACACACACAGAACACACACAGAACACACACACACACACACACACACACACACACACACACACACATATATATATATATAAGCTTTCTTCAATATGCAAAAATATTAATTTTGGTATGCGATTTGCAATTAACTTTACATTTAAAAATAATAAAGCAGTTAAAATTAGGAAACATCTTTTTCAATGTTTACTATTTAAAAAAAAAAGTTTTTTAATTGATTTCATTTAAACTTAAAATTTGTCACAGAACACAGATAAGAAATGTTTTTTGATAATAATAACAAAAATGGAAGTATGTAAAAATGTGGGACTTTCGACTGCAGTAGATTATCCATAGCAAAGCATGTTGAATATAAAAAAAAAAATTCAAATTGTTCAAGCTTTTAAATCTCTTAATTACTACAGCATCTAGTTTATTTTGTGCTTTATGTTTATTTTTATTCAATATTGTTCTTCTTAGTTGATTAATATCTAAATAAATTATGGAACAATTTATTGTTTAATTTAAAGACAAAATTTACTTGTAATCAACACTTAAATTCTAGTATATTCAGCTTAATTCAACTTCTAATCCAATCAAAAAAGTTCTTGAAATTAGTATAAATTTTAATAGGACATAATGAAAAAAGCAAATAAGTTAAAAAGTTTGAACAGTTGAAGGTATAGAACTAAGTAAATTTATGCAGGAAGGACTATTAAGTTATAAAGGTAAATTAAACTATAGCATAACTTAAAAAATATATCAGAAATTGAGTGCTTTTGCTAAATTAAAAAAACAGCTTTTTTAATACCTTTAAAGAACATGTGAAAATTTCACACCTAATGGATGTTTAGAAATAAAGGTATCTTGTTAATATATACCCACTTTCACATAATTTGCATTAAATAAGCAAGTCTTTCATTAAAAAATAAATAAATAAACATACTTGTTTCTTATCATAAATTAACAGATTATTTATGATGATTATAATTTTTTTAAAGTTGCATAATATAATTGAATCAAATAAACATCATTTCTCATCTTACTCATACTCATCCTCCCCCATTTTCATCCCATCCCTCATCCTCCTCTATCAGCCTCCATCATCATCCCTTTTCATTACTGTTTTCATCCCATCCCTCATCCTCCTCCATCAGCCTTCATCATCCCTCAGCCTCCATCTTTTTTTTACATCATTTTGTTTTTGACTTTTTTTTTGACCTTTTTTTTATGAGTCCCCCTCAAAATCCATATAAGAAACTTTTTCTCTCTTTTTTCACGTTTTTTTATTAAAAAGCATAAAAAAATGCAATATAGATAGTCATCAGTTAGAAGACATGATTTCTTCACAAGTCATTATATGACTTGCATTTAATATCTTATTTTGATTTACAATTTTATTTGAAATCTTATTTTGAAAATCATTAAAGTTATTAGTATAACTTTGATATCGTAAAAGCAGTTAAAAAAACTTAAAAAAAAAAAAAAAAAAAGCAATAAAAATAGAAGGCTTTTAAATGATTGTAAATTTTGTAAGCAAACACCAAAGTTAAACTATTTTATATTAAGAAATTCTTGGTATAAAATACTTTTATTAAGTTTAATTTTTGCATTTGCTTATAAATTTTATATCATTACATAGTTTCAAAAAGATGAAATAAGTGAATTTAAAAATTAAGTATTTGGTTTTTTAAATTTAAAAAATTAAAATTTTAGAGATTTAGAAGTATTAAATTATTTAATAAACAAATTCAAGTTTGTATAGCAACAAATATAAACAATTCAGCAAACCTTAAAGTGTCTAATACTTTCACATGGCAGATCCTCCCTGATCATATCGTTAGACTTAGTTGTCGCCATTATGATTCAAATAAATATTGCAAGCAGTAGTTATGCCTTTTTAATACCTTTTTAAAAATATACCTGTAAGTGGTAAATAGTATATCTGCAGCAAAAAATTTTTTTGCACAGTCAGCCTTTGCGTAACTTTATTTTTTACTTACAGACCACTGTTACTTAATACACTACACAAGTATGCCATTAAATATATAAATCTGCGCACGAGTTAGGCTTCCGTTAGGCTTGCGCAGTACAGTACAAACGAACTTGGAGCTTTTTGTGCATCTAAATAGAGCAGCAGGTATCAGCTATTGTTAACAAATGGCTATTAAAAATGACAAGGTTATTAACTTTAATAGTCGTTAAAATATTAATATACACTAGATAATCGGTATCAAATCTCGGTTTATCATCTGGTATCGGTGCAATGCCTTACAGTATCGATATCGCGATCACGCGATACTTGTATCCAAAGTATCGGTCGTTTGGTACCGGTAGTATCATTTGGCATTGTAACTCGGGTCTTCACGATAATATGTAATTTCTTTCAATAAACGAATAATATTTTGAAATAGTAAATTCATATAATATCTGAGAAGTATATAATTGAGTATCATTTAGTACAATAGAAGTTCTCAAAGAGTGTGTAATATGACACTATATCATTTAATTTTTTATCTAATATCATTATTTTAATTTAAATAATTATGTGGTATCGCTTCCGCATTTTAGTTTTTCATCTTGTATTGTTACTTTAATTAAATCTCGCATGGTGACAATATGATATCGTTACTATACAATATTGATAATAAAAAGAATTTTATGGTATCGAATGGTCGCATAGTCTCGATAAGAAGAAGGAAAAAAAATAAGAAAAATGTGACTTTTCGTTTTTTTTCTTCCAATTAAATTAAAGTTAACAAGTCAAATCTCGTTAACTTTGATTGTTCAGGTTTTTCAATGGTTTTGAGTCTTTAAATATAACTAAGAACTTTAAATTTGATGAATAAATGAGTTTTTTCTTTAGTTTTAAAATCTTCGTATTCAAGTCCTCCAAAAATATTTTTTTCCTTATAAATTAAAATTTAATTCTGTTTATAAAAAAAATGTCTGTTTAAATAAGCACTTCTGTTTATAATAAGTACGTTCTATTTCAGTTTTTTTTCCAGTCTTTTTTAAAGCTTATGAAAAAGTAATTTATAACCAAATTTATAGGTACTTGACTTTAAACAAAGTTTCTTTAAACAAAATGACTTTAAAAAAAATGCCTTAATAATAATTTTGTTTTCAAAAATGTTTGGTTTTTTTTTATTGAAATTACAATTATTCCAGCTCTTTAAAAAAGAGCATGTACACATTTATTTACTACTTTATAACTTTTAATTTGGCTGTATTTGATTTATCTAATAAAATGCAATCAAATTGCAATACTTGGTTCGAGGTTCTTGGAGCCGTTATCTATATCAACAGTACAGCTACCGTAAAATTGGGTGGCTTTAGCCCAACAGAATTTTTGTTTAAAAAATGGTTTAAAATCGATACCTTAAGGTATGCCGGTTGATGTTTAGTAGCAAATTGTGGGAAATTTATTACTTATTTAGTTTAACTTAGTTTACTTAACTCGAGTCTTTGTGATATTATTGTAAATTGCACTTTAGAAGAAGCACCTAAAATCCGAATTTTTTTAGGTGTGTAAAATTTTACATCAATAGCAGTACCAGTAGAAGGTTTTTTATTGGAATATACACTGAATTAATTTTAAACCATTGATGTTTGATTCTATCTTGTTTGGAAAGCTTAACAGTTTATTACTTTTTTGTAATTGAGGTTCGAAAAAAACAGGTTGTCTTTGGCCCACTACATAGAGTGACATTGGCCCGGGCTAAAGTCACCCATGTATTAGAGTAAACCTTTTTAAGTGATCATTTATAGATATTATGGTAGTTACTATGTTGGAATGAAAAATTTTTTAGTAGTAATGCAATTTTGAAATAAGCAGCTTTGAAATACGATATACCAAGATCAACATTAAAAAGTAAAATAAAACAGACATATCCTAAAAAGTATGGTCGTCAGCAAATATTTACATCAAAAGAAGAAGACATGTTTAAAGCATATGCAATAAAATCATCTGAGTTTGGTTTTCCTGTTGATAAATATGATTTAAGATGCATAGTAAAAGGGTATTTAGAGAAAAAAGGTGTCATTATACCTCAGTTTAATAATTTTCCAGGTGGCGATTGGATTCGATCTTTTTTAAAAAGAAATCCAGAACTCACAGTAAGCAACATAAAGCGAAAGAGAGCAGAAATAGGAATAACTATGATTGATAACTACTTTATAAATCTATCAAATGAAATAAGTAATATATCACCTGATAATATATGGAATTATGATGAAACCAATCTCAGTGATGATCCATGTCAAAGCAATAACATAGGATTTGTGGCATTACCAGCAAACTCTACACATCTCACGCAGCCATTAGATGTTGCCTACTTTAGACCTATGAAGATTAACTGGCGCAAAATATTATGTGAATGGAAGGAGAAAGGAAAAGGAAGAAGAGTTGCTTCTCTTCCTAAAGATGAATTTCCTAGACTTTTAGACCGTTTAATTACCAACTTAAGTGAACATGGGAATGATAACCTTAGAGCTGGTTTTCGCAAAACTGGAATTTTTCCATTAGACAAGTCATAAGTGCTTTCACGACTACCATGTTGTAATGTAGGTTTTGATTCAACTACTGGTTTAGTAAGCCAATCACTTTTAGATCATTTATGTAAGTCACTGGATAATCCCTCAGATGATTCTAAAAAACCAAAGCGACGTAAAGTATGTGTTGTCCCAGGTAAAAGCTTATGTTCAACAGATATATCATCTTGTGTTATAAATGAAAATAATAGATTAAATTCAAATAATGTAGATACACCTATCAGTATTATAAATACAATTGAGACCAACAAAATTGACTTTGCTGGCACAAGTACAAATACTGGAACTACTGAGACTTCTAATCTAATTTTTGCAGATGTAAGTTTAGTTGTAGAAAGTCATACAGAATCTTTAGATCATTCAGCATTAGGCAAAAAGAACTTTCAAAATATTGATAAAACAAAAAATGTTTGAAAAAAATGGACTTAACTGGATATGGTCACTACCAGCAGAGCAACTTTATTTTTCCCAAGTCTAAAATAGTCGATTTTATTGAGGAACCAAAGAAAATTTCGAAAAGAGGAATTTATTCAGTTCCAGAACTTTTTCACTAAATTTTTTAAAACATTTTTTTTGTCATTTTTGTTTACTTTATACTTAAACTGTTTTGTTTACTTGGTACCTATACTTGTTTAGTTTGTACCTATATTTTTTGTATACAAGAACTTTGTTACTAAATCTTTTTTTGTCACTTTATTTTTGTTAAATTATTTTCTTTGCTTAAATATTGTTGTTTTTATTGTTGTTTTGCTTCCTTTAATTCCTTTTTACAGGGTTGGGCCAAAGTCACCCTAACACATAGGGCGACTTTGGCCCACCATTTAAACCACCCAAAAGATACTTCAGGTAAATAATTTTCAAATGGGAAACAGACAGTTCTAACTGTCCTTTCTATGCGCTTCTAAAAGTACTTAGTGTTTAAGGAAATAACTTTTGTAGCTTTCATGCAATAGACATTAAGATGCAAAATGGGCCAAAGCTACCCAATCTTACGGTATATATAAAAGCTTCATAGAATGAGAAAGACACACAGGACAGCGTAGATTGTTTGTGATGCAACAGATAAATAATCTATGAGATACTCACTTATTATTGTATTTTTTTTTATGGTGAACTGTTTTTTTTTTTTTGCCAGATAAACTTATTCAAGTCGTAAACCATAATATAAATACAAATAGCAGGAGCAAAAAGAAGACATAATTGGTCTTATCACCAAGCCTATTAGACTACACCGTAAATATAAAACAACAAAAATTAAAAAACGTAACACTATATAATATAAAACGTTTTTCTAAAGACTTTATAAAAAAAAAATTTTTTATTTTATAAAGTCTTTAGAAAATCAATTTTTAGTAATGGTAGCATGCTTGATACTTTGTTTTCTTGCTGGTTGGAATGAAATAAGATGTATTTCATTTTTTCTGTATTTAAAGATAATTTATTTACTTTAAACCAAATGTTTAGACTCTCAAGGCCATCGTTCGCAGATTCAAAGAGATTTTCAATTGATGCTGATGAATAAAATAAATTTGTATCATCAGCAAACATTATTGCATCGAGTTTTTTTAGTGATTTTGGAAGATCGTTAATATAAATTAAAGAAAAAAGAGGACCAAGAATGGAAACTTGGGGAACTCCACATTTTATTTATTAGAGTATTTATTATCGTTCAAAATAATACATTGTTGTCCTGTTACAGAGATAACTTTTTAACCAATCTAAGCTAGTACTTTTTATTCCGTATTTTTTCTTTTTTTTTTAGTGAGATATCACGATTCATTGTGTCAAATGCTTTGGATAGGTCTATAAAAGTTCCTAATACAAATTACGTTTTATTAAAAGAATCATTTATGCTAGTAATCAGGGATGCGGAGTCGGAGTCGCTAAACAAAATAGCAGCTCCGACTCCAATAGTTAAATTTCTCGGTATTGCACGTGCATGTATAAAACATTCAATTAACCTTATATTTATACTAAACCTCAAAGAACGTTTCATAAATTTGTCAAAAAACTTTTTTTCAACTTATCGCATAATATTTTTTAAAAAATTCAAAGAATTTTTCAAAAATTTTGCTTTGGAGTTGGAGTCGGAGTTGTACTCAAAAATTTCAACAACTGGAGTCGTTACTTTTTTTTTATGACTCCACACCCCTGCTAATAACTAAATCTAAAATTGCATGTTCTATTGAGTGCTCTGCTTGAAAGTCGAATTGTTTTTTTATTTAAGAATTTGTGAATTATTTAAGAATTTATTTATGAATTTATATTATATTTATATTATTTAAGAATTTATTTAAGAAATTATATTATATTAATGGTAATGCTACATACTGTTTTTGTTCTTATTTTGGCATGATTGGGACGGATTTGACCCAGACACGCCCCAAACTTGCAAAGTAAACTGGATATAGATCCGGGTAGGACCTATTATTACCCGACCCAAACCCAGACCTGTATATACAAATTGGGTATGAGCTCGGGTGCGTTGATACCCAACCCTAAGTGCGCTAAACAAAACTCAATAAAAAATGAAAATGTTAATTTAAATTTGGTTGTTTATAGACTCTTGTTTTTTCTAATTCAAATTTTAAATTGAATAAACGTACAAAATAAAAAATAAACTAGATTAACCATTAAACAGCCTTTAAATCGTGAATGCTACGCTTTGTTATTGCAATATTTGAAAATATTTCTTCTATGACACTTTCAGCATTTTCTTCATTATATTCTGTAGAGAGCTTAGAAACAACATTCCTAATAACTTCGTCTTTATCAAGTACAAACTCATCTTTCGAATCATATGAATCAACCAAAGCCTCCATTTTAGAAAAATCTTTTTCTAAAAAGCAAGATTGATTATTTGAAGTGGATATACTTGTCGTTTGAACGGCATTATCTTTAAAAGAAAAAATAGAACTGTTTGAGCTATCATCAACTTTTTTATCTATTGAATTGAATGCTTCATACGACTCTACTTGCTGTTCTTTATTTGTACATTTTGAGATCTTCTCCTTTTCGGTTTTGCTATGACAAATTAAAATGATAAAAACTATTTTAAGGTATTATACTTTGACGTCGAATCTTTCTTGAGAGATTGATAATGAGCTGAAAAAATTGAAAAAATTTATAATCTCTTGTTTAATCTGGAAATAGTACCTATAGATATTTCTAATTTAGTTAATTTTTTATCAATAATAATAAAAAAGTGTAGTAAAATATGAACGTGAGGTGTAAAATTTCAAAAGATATTTTATTTTTTAGATATTTTTTGTTACATCTTTTTAGTATTATTGATTAAAAATTAATTAAATTAGAAACATTTATAGGTACGATTTCCAAATTAAACGAGAAGTTTTAAACTTTTTCAACTTATTCAGCTCATACGTAATACAAATACGTGTATATCATATAAAGCGCAAGACAAGCATACAAAATACGTGTAAATAATATAAAGCGCAAGCTTTACATTAGGTAAAGCCTTGATTTATAAAAACTTAAAAAAAAAAACAAAAAATATATTTAAACAATAATTTTAAGTTATCATTCAGTGTGTTAATTTTGATCCAAAATTAGTTTTTTTTTCTTTTATTATTTATTATTTAAAAAAGTAAAAATAAAATACTATAAAAATATATATGATTTTATAGATACTTAGAAGATAACATTAAAAAAAAATGAACTCCTATTTTAAAAAAGACATAATCTTAATTATTTTTTACCTGGAATATACTTTTTTGTAAAGCATTTTCAAATGAGACTTTATTATGTCGCAGGGATCAACTTTTGATGGCCTTTTACTTAAAGCAATTTTAAGTTGTTCTTTTATTGTGTCAAAATGTGTATCGCTGATTCTCATAGGGCAGTTTTCAATAGATAAAGCAGCAGAATATTTTGATTTACCAAATTGCAATTGAGATCTATCTGTATCTGTATCACTCAACGAGCTCATAATTTCCGATTCAGCTAGCTTAATTTGAACATCTTCAAAAGTTGTTACACAAGGTTCAGCTTGCTTAGCACTACTTTTTAAATTATTGTTTTCACTCACACTATATTTTTTGACACATTCAGGTTCTATGGAGTCCGCATGAAATAAGGCTTTTACTTTTGACGATGCTTGATTCTTGCTTGTTAAAACATCATTTTTAATATCTAAAGTGTCGTTATTTCCTCCATTAGCACTGTTTTTAGATAGTTCATTTTTTTTATTATTGTTACTTTTACGTGTGAAATAACTTAATTCTTTTCTATTAATATCCATAACGCCTTAAGCTTTTGTCAAAAAGAATTTCTTTAAATTCGTTTTGCAATACATTGTAGTAGCCTCACTGCAATGTTTTTTGTCTTTTTTAATTCAATAAAAAGTATACATATTTAAAAAGTACATAACTTCATAAATAAAACCAACCTCGTAAAATGGTATAAAATATTCATCTACAAATATATCTTACTTTAATTAAAATTTTATAACCTAACTTTTTATTTTTTGATTTATTCTCATAAATTTAGAATATAATTATTTTCAAAAAAATTGTCAAATGATTTTTTATTCTAAAGATATAAATGTTTAAAGTCTGAGACGACCAAATTTTGATATTTACTTTTACTTCGTAAATTAATTTTTCTTCGTAAAAGATTTTCATTATGTAAAGCTAACGTTTTTTTAAGGGCCCCCGCAGGATTTTTTTGATGTTTCAGATAGGATATTTTCATACATTGTGCAAACTCTAAACTTAAGTATGTTCATACCTATACCAAATAAAGAGGCCTTGCCATAATTTAGACAGAAACTTGGGAACAAATAGCACTAAAACTCTTGTCCCCCCTCCTACCCAATCGTGAGGGCACTGGTGTAGTAAAATTTTCAACTTTACTATCTTAAACTAAATTTAAATTTTATCAGCAGATTTTAAATTTTGTAGAAAAATTTGTAAATTACAAAAGTTATGACCAGGTAAAATTTACAACCACTTTTTTTTTTTTTTTTTGGGGGGGGGGGGGGTCAAAAAAAATTGGCTTGGTCATAACATTTGTAATTTAATATTTTTCTACAAAATTTAAAATATATTGATAAATTTAAATTTAGTTTAAGAGAGTTAAGTTGAAAATTTTACTACGTCAGTGGTCTCATGTTTAAGCAGGGGGTCAAGCGTTTTAGGGCTTTTTTGTTCCCAGGCCTCAACCATCCCAAATTTTTGCAAGGCTATTTGACATAGGTATGAACATACTTAAATTTAGAATTTGCACAATGTGTGTAAGTGTCTTCTCTGAAACATCAAAAAATTCTACGGGTACCCATGTAAACAACTGCTATTTAAGTTGGGGAGTTACTGAAGCATAAAAGAGGAAGTAAACAGTTGACAGATGATTTAATAAACTGTTTGAGTCAGGAAAACATGACAACGGACATTTTTATTTTGTTCATGTATTTCTATGCTTTGTTTATGCTGCCGTGTAATCCAAGCCTGTCAAGTCTTCGCCATTTCACGGGAGTCTCGCGAAGTTTGAAGAGTAATTTATCTCCGTCCCGCATATACAAAAAAAGTGAAAAACTCCCTGTTTCTTATTAGCACATTTAAATCCAACAAAATTTCAACTGAATGGAACATTAAAAAAGTATTATTTCATTTCAAATAAACAAACCAGAAAGTCAACCAAGTTTTAAGTATGATTCATCACTTAGTGTCATTGAAAAAGGTAAAACTGTCACTTGGGAGTATAACCAAAAACATACAAAATGTAAATAGTTATTGTTAAAATGTATTTATGATGATGGAAATAAATAAAAATATTTCAAATATATTAACGTAAATATATTTGAAAGATTTTTATTTATTTCCATTATTTCCAAAAAAAAAAACTTTTTCTTTCCAACAACTAAAAAGAATTATTGAGCAAATACCTTATGATCGGGCAATATAATAGTATTTCTCATACTTATTTTGAAAACTTGGTCTGCTTGGTGTAGTTAAGGCGATTTACAATACTTTTATTTGGAATTAGCATGATTTTATCAGCGTATTATGTCCAAACAAAAGCTTTAGATAAAATAACTTTTTTTGCTTAAGATTTTTTTAATATTTAAAGAAACTTTTCTTTTATATATATAATTTTCAAAACTTTTTTATTACCCGTAATAGTGAATCTAAAGAACACTATTTTGGGGTCTTTAGATCAATTCCGTTCATCAACATTAACATGAATTTAGTTAAAATCTTTTGAAAAAGTTCCTTACTACTGATCCTAGTTCTAATCGGTTATGACGTGTATTATCAATATATAGTTGTCAAAACACAATATTTCTATCAACTTTCACAAAAAATACTAGAATTCCGACCAAGAAAGAGCTTCTAATTATGAAAAATTGCCAATAAACGATCAGAACAGATCATTTTTTAAAATTTTTTTATTTTATTATATTTCGCTGTTTATATAAAAATAAAATAATAAAATTACAATGAAACTTTTACATTAAACAAAGAATATATATAAAACAGACAGGGGCTCAAAGAAGATACGGATGACTGGTGTCACCACAATCCTTTTATAGAGCGTGAAGAATAAAGAAAAACTCATATATACATATGCCCATAAATGCACACACATATACAAACATACTTACATATATGTAAGAAATTAAGAAGATGTAGTTTCATTTGTCGTTTAAAAGAGAAAGTGCTTTTCAAATTTTTTATGTTGTTATTTTTTAATTGATTCTATAATGACAGGCCTTGACAAATAATTGAGAATTTTGAAACTTGCGGTTTTACTCTGCTCAAGTGATAGTTATGGTTGTTATTTGACCGAAGATTGTATTTTTGTTAAAATGCTGATGTAAAAATATCAGAAAACACTTTTGGCTGGAAGTTATTCTTATATTTATACATAAATATTATTATTTGAAGCGAATTAAGTTTTGATATATTTAACACATTCATGTATTTCATCACAGGGGAAGGGTTTTCTAATCTCTTTAAATAGTTAATTGCTTTACATGCGTGGTTTTGTAGGCTCTGTAATCTTTATATCTTAGTTTTGTATGTGTTAGCCCAAACAATATTAGCGTAGGAGAGATGATAATGAACAAGACTGAAGTAAAGCATTTTGCGTGATTTAAAATCAAGAAAGGCCCTAGATTTATATAATACACTTATCGCAGAAGATATTTTAGCTTCAATGAGAATAATATATATTTTTTCCATGATAGGTTCTCATCAAATATTACTCCCAAAAACTTTAAATGATTTACTCGATTTATTTCATTTTTATTGATTGACAGTTTTGGCAACTTTTATGGAAGATTAGTTGATTGTCTTATTTTATGAACGAGAGTAAAACTTGTTTTTCACAATTTAATGATACTTATTAGCTATAAACCATTGGTAAAAGTTTTCTTGTTCAGTGTCATTGTTTCGAATAATATTTTTACATCAGAACTGTAGTAGAATAAACTTGTATCGTCTGCAAACATAATTGGCGATATTTTATGAGAAGCTTTATTTATATCATTGATATATATTTAAAATAATAAAGGTCCTTAAATTGATTCTGTGGGATTCCGCAAACAATATCAAGAGCTCCTGACTCCTCCAGGACAACACTGTTTTCTATTAAAAATGTAACTTTTAACCCACTTTTATGTTAGGCCTTTAATGCCGTAGTGCTTTAGCTTTGAAAGCAAAATTCCGTGATCAACGGTATCGAATGCCTTAGAGAGATCGATAAATACTCCTAGTTCTTGTTCCCCTTTATCAAAAGACATAGATATTTTATTGGAAAGTTCAATAATAGCATGTTCAGTTGAGCAGTATCTCTGAAATCCAAATTGATTTTTGTATAAAAGTATAATTGATGTCATAATCATAAATTCTATTAAAAATTACCGTTACAAATATTTTCGAAAAGACAGGGAGTAGTGATATAGGACGGTAGTTGCAAACAGAAAAACAACCACCATTTTTAAAAACTGGATGAATTTCAGCTGATTTTAATTTATCAGGAAAAATACTATTCTCAAATGAAAATCCTATTAAATAAAATAATGGTTTACTTATACTATCCATAACATAGATAGCTACATTACTGGTAATGTCGTCATACCCACATGACTTGTTACACTTTAGTTCAAATAGCGCTTTGTTAAATTCGTGTTTATTTATTTTTTCATTAGATATGCTAGTCGCGGTTTTCTCTCCCAAGTATTCATCAAACACTTTAGTTGACTAAATAATTACTTTTTTTGGTGAGCAAGAGAATTTCTTTTTTTCTCTTCCAGTTACTTCATTTATAATAGACCAGGTTTTCTTATTTTTATTCAGCTGGTTAAAATAGTATTTTATTTCCGTCATTTTCCTTTTTAGATTTTAGAAATTTTATATAGAGCTTTCGTTTTTTTTCGATGATTTTATCAAATTATTTGTCATCCATGGGTTTTTTAAATGTTTGTTTTTTATTTCAGTGGTTAATTTTAGGCAGACATTGTCATAAACATTTTGAAAAGTATTCGAAAAATTCTTAACACGCTATTGGCGTCTGCAGAGGAATAATCGTCTTCCCATCGCTCTTCGTACAGTTTCTTTTTAAGTTTATCTAGGTTTTTAAAAGAAAGATTTCTTTCAGTAACAAATATTATTTTATCGTCGTCGTTAGATGAAACTCCGTGCGCAATATGATTGTTGTCGTTAGATGAAACTCCGTGCGCAATATGATTGTTGTCGTTAGATGAAACTCCGTGCGCAATATGATTGTTGTCGTTAGATGAAACTCCGTGCGCAATATGATTGTTGTCGTTAGATGAAACTCCGTGCGCAATATGATTGTCGTCGTTAGATGAAACTCCGTGCGCAATATGATTGTTGTCGTTAGATGAAACTCCGTGCGCAATATGATTGTCGTCGTTAGATGAAACTCCGTGCGCAATATGATTGTTGTCGTTAGATGAAACTCCGTGCGCAATATGATTGTCGTCGTTAGATGAAACTCCGTGCGCAATATGATAAATAGGAAAATGATCAGAGAAATCTGTAATAAAAATACCTGATTCAAAATAAGTATCTAAAATATTATTACTTAAAATATTATCAATTGCGGACGAAGTTTTTGTAATACGCGTAGGCTTAAAAATGGAAGGTATAATGTTAAATTCAAGTAATTGAATTTAACATTATACTTCTATTATAATAGAAAAAAGACAAAATTTTACTTTTAAATTAAACAAGTTTTATTTTTAATTAAATATTTTTAGCAACAATTTTTTTATAACAAAGTTCAATTAAGGGGGAAACTCCCTCTAAAATCATCAAA